TAATAGTTTTTGAACTATAACCATACCCTTTTTTCAGATAAATTGGGGGTCCGGGAAGAGGGGGCACTTATTGGTGGGCCTGATGGATAGAGCTTCATCAGAGCTAAACAACCAAAGACAATCTGAAGCTCCTATGTTTAATAGTTTTTGAACTATAACCATACCCTTTTTTCAGATAAATTGGGGGTCCGGGGAGGGGGCACTGATTGGTGGGCCTGATGGATAGAGCTTCATCAGAGCTAAACAACAAAAGAAATCTGAAGCTGCTTTGTTGAACAGTTTGAGTTATAAGCATTTATGCATGTCCAGACACCCCCACTTTGAAAGGAGCCCCCTCCTCAAATATGGGGTCTATCGTAAAATGTTGGCTGGCGCAGTGTAGGTCGGACTCATCTACAGTCCTGCCAAATTTCATGTTGATCGGTGCAGCCGTTTTTGTGGTACGGTTGACCAAAAATCACTGAAAAAAACAAACAAATAAATAAACAGTATGAAAACAATATGACTCCTGCTTACGTTTCGCGTGCGGGGGTCATAAAAAATACTGATCACAGAGGGAAATTCCCAAAACTGTGTGTTGAGAAATGTGCTCTAGATGACCAGTCCAGAAGTGCTATCCAGTCACAGAATTGTTACATAAAGCTTAAATTAAGTCTCCTACTTCCTTCAGTTCTACCACAGAGAATTATACTTTAGTATTGCACCTAAAGTAAATCACTTTTAGCCTTATGTGGAGCTGCGGTAGGCAGCAGAGGAGTGTGAGAGTCCCCTTTTGGGAATCTGAGCTCCCTGTTCTGTTTGAGTCAGCCCCTTCTGTGGATTTTGGGGAATTTTGTGTTCTGGTAACTTAACTGATGTGACTCATCWAAAGACCCTGCAGTGTCTCAACACTTCCCAGAAAGACAGATGGTGTTGTTCATGGTGTTAGAGCATATACAGATGTGATCAGCGTTTACAGCTGTGCATCCAGTCTGGTCACCCTAACTTAATGTCCTTACTGTAGGACTGTGATTAGCACGTTGCTCACAGCTTTCAGTCAGGGATGAGGCGAGACGATCAGTTATGAGTTGCATCCGGGGCAGCAGAGGTTAAGGGAAAATAGAAAAGAAGCTGAACAAGCAGTCTGGAGTGAGCACATTCTGGAAATATGTTTACCATGTGATAACCTCTACTGTTCTACTTTAGATTTATTTTATTCATAACATCATTTTCTATTTGTTCTGGAGCTCTGCTAGCAAGCAAGACTAACTCCAAATACCTTAGAGCTACAGGTACAGAAAGCTTAACAGTTATTTTAATTATAAGAGGGAAGATAAAATATAATTATACGTCTTACCACTAAAGAAACCTCTTATTGATGGTGCATTCGCAATAAATATGTAACTTTTTTTTGTGTCTGTCCTACGCTATTTTTAGAAAAACATTCAGGATGTAAAAAAAATGTTTTGATTTATTGTTTGAACTTCAAAAATGGAAATTCAGTACTAACATTATAATGAAAATGTCTTATGGTTGAGTAGAGGCAACGTTTTTTATGTAAAAAATTGTTGGTTAATTTTTTTTTATTTATTGTTTTTTCGATTGAAGACAGCTAGACCATTTCCTTGTCTGTTTGGARAAAAACTTTTTTAAACTAAATCAGAACGTTTTGGAAATTTATTTGACATATAATTGCATTTAGTTTAGAAAAGTAATCATTCTGATGAATTGTTAGTTTGTCTTGGGTTTTATAAGAAATGTCGTTTTAAATAGTTTCACCAGGGAAAAATAATTCAGTGCGCACCATTAATTGTATTTAAGATGGCAAAAAATGTGTAGCAGTGCTTGTTTTTAATTTTAATCTGTTTCAATGCTAGGTCGAAACGAGTTGATCGCTCGTTACATAAAGCTGCGAACGGGGAAGACGCGTACCCGCAAACAGGTATGGACAATTCTTACAGAACAGTTCCGAAATCAGTTATGAGAGTTTAAATTGAAATATCGTCCTTTGATTGTGTTTGTTTTCATGGGGACAAACTCGGCCCCCAAAGGTATCTAGTCACATTCAAGTTTTGGCACGTAAGAGGGTGCGAGAGTATCAGGCCAGCATCAAGGTGGGTACTTGCACAATCCCTTTCCTTTATAGTTATATTCCTTCTTCTTTTCCTTTCCCTCTTCCTCTCCTTCCTGTCCCTTCGCCCTGTCTTTCTTCAGGTCTCTAGTCACCTGCAAGTCTTGGCCAAGAGAAAGTCTCGTGAGATTCAGTCTAAACTGAAGGTACACAGGCTCGCTGACTTGGCAGTGCTCGTGGTTTCGCTCTGCATGTGGCCCAAATCTAACTCAAGCCATTTAATCATCACAGATGGAAGATGCTCTCGTTTTGGCTTCTTTTTTGGGTTATTAAAGCATCTACTTCATATACCAGTTCCAGTTGGGACCACAGGAATTGTAATTGGCCAATGCAAGCTGGATCGTTTTTCACTTTCAAGACTGTTTGCAACTAGGTGAATGAAGGCTCGAACTTTATTATTTTTCTCCCTAATAATTAACTAACTATGTGACAMTGCATGGTGCATTTGTTGATGCTTGTGCGATGCCAACCTAATCCCTGTCATTGGTATTTAGTTGCATGACCGTATAACATTAGGACATATTTGGAAATGTGATTGTAAAACACTTATTCAATCACGTTTTTGTTTGCTTGCATGCCTTTCAAGTCTTCTTTTGCMTGTTGTCTATTTTTAAAGTTTGTGAGCATTGCTCGCTGTGAGTCTGCRTTGCAACTGTTCAGTTAGAATTTGTATAAAAAGAAATTTGTAATGTGTGACAATAAGTCGTATCTGTTGACTGAGTGTAAAGATACTCATTGCAAAGTCATGAAGACTGAACAAAAAAATCATAAAATAAGAAGGTGAATCCACACCCTGTTTTGCTCATATTGATGATTAATGTGTCTCAAAGTAGTTGACCTATGGAAACAGAGTAAGGGATTGAAAATATATCTTCTGGTAAACTTTGCAGCCATTTTTGTTTACCTCCACAGACTACAGCCTAATGTAGATCAATCATGTGAGTCAAGCTTCTAYGTAGTTTTTGTYTGATTTTGCCAAGTTCTTTGTTTACATTGAGTGCAGACCTGCATTTCAGAATTGCATTCAGTATGTCTGGAAAACTACTAGAGTAAACGTTTTGAAACTACACTATATTCTGTCGTTTAGAACGGTGGTGCCTAATCCTGGTTCTCAAGGGTCACTATCCTGAAAAATTAGAAGTCTGTTTTGAACAAATTAGTAATAACTAGGCTTCTGCAGAACTTGGAGAGCTGCTGAAGAGCAGGGAAACAACTAAARCATGCAGGATAGTGACCCGCGAGGACCAGGATTGGGCACCACTGATTTAGGATAACCTTTTTTTAAAGTTTCTTTCATACTTTGCAATGAGTTCCTTTAAGAGAATTGCTGTTATGCGCAGAATAATTGCATGAAAATGTACATTTGTGCCTGCAAACACAAACTGATAAAGATGGTTTTATCTGCTTTCCACTGGGGTGCAGACTAAACCTGTGTGTGCTCTTGTTCTTCAAGAATCCTTTAGTTCTTTTCTTTTTATTTCTTCTCTTGTAACCCTGTCACGAAAAGAATTGTAGTTTTACATTTTTCCTCACTGTGTGCTGTTTATGTGCTATTCGTACAATTGTTGAGCTTATAGTATATGTTATTGGTATAATCATCACTTGATTGTATTGTCTTATAGAAATGTAATGTTTTCTTTCTGTTTGACAAGTTATGTGTGAGCTGTCATCGCAAACTTAAGAATAAGGCTCGTGTCAGTGTTGGGATGTTTTGTTTTGTTTTTTAATCAGACCATCCTGACAATGTACTGTATATAAACAGTTACATTCATTTTTTGAGTTACCCCCATATTCAGAGTGTTCCCTTTGTACTTTATTAGTTGGTACATAAGGGTAGTGATTCAATTATTTCACAATATCACAATTTATGAATGAAATTGGCAAAGCTGTGTTTCCAATAATAAACAAAAATACTGCAAATAAATAAWGGGTATTTATTTCCTCTGACCTAATGTACATGTTAATTAAATTTATACTAAAATAACCCTGCAGTATCAGCTGTAAACTACAATACTAGAGACATCACCAAGTTAAATGCATTGCTCTTGGTTAGAAATCTTGAAGAATTATTAAAAAGACACTTGATAAAAATGATATCAGAATTAYTAAATTTAAACTTGCAGCTCTTTAGGAGCAATGTACAGTCACCCAAATTAAAGCGACTTCAATTTTGAAATACAAATGTAAACAAAAAGCAGCAATAAAAACAAACCTTTCAAACTATGTTGGGTAGACTTCTACAAATCTTGGTCAAACAATACAAGACATAAAGTCATCAGTAGTTCCTACAAACTGCTRCACATAGAGTAATGGAGCAGTGATTTGTTTACTCATTTCTTTACTTGGAAGCAAAAAAAAAAAGCTTGTTCTGATAAAGCAGATTGTGTTATATAATGACAGTGAACTAAAGAAGGCAGTATGGGTTGTTTTCCTCCCAACTATTCAGGGTAATGTTTGTTGTATTCCTTCAGCTTTTCAAATTTCCAATTAAGAATAAAAATACACAAAGTGAAAGTACCTCCTGAAACAAGTATTTTTATTCTCTGAGCAAATCGTTTTCCATTACTGCCAAACAGTGACTTTATTCCCTGCTTTCAGCTGAGTTGTACTAAAATGAATTTATTACGTGTCTTTTTTGCCATAGGCCATGAACTTGGTAAGTTTGACCTACAGTTCTCTGCTATAGGCTTTGTGCTGTGTGGCTGGCATCACATTACTGCTCGTCCACACACTGCAGATGTACTACCAGACTCTAAACTCTGCTCTCTGCTTATTTGTTGTTGTTGTTGTTATCATTAGTGTTTTGTTTGGATTGTTTTTATTTTGAGTGCTGGTGAGGATTAGCGTTTTCTAGCTCTATGCCTCCTGCTGTTGCTTCTTCTCAGGTCTGCTTAACTGTGTGTCATCTCTCTGCCTATAGTTCCTGCATCCTGCTGAAATACAGCACACGTTGGCTCGCTTGCTGTCTAAAATTTGTTGTTGTTTTTTTAAGTTGGCTGGCTGTGGAACTGTAACCTACATTACCAACCTCTACYCATTAAAGAGATGTGTAGATGTTTTTTTTTTCTTCACTTATTACTTTTTTTTCTGTTTAGGATCAGGTATCCAAGGACAAGGCACTCCAGACGGTGGCCAACCTCTCGTCAGCTCAGATTGTGTCAGCGAGTGTAATGAAACCTCAGACCTCCTTCCCTCCGCCAGTCAGAGTGAGACAAAAATTAAAGGTGCTCCAGTCAAGTTGGCCTCCGATTGGTCTTGGCAGATATTCATTTTATTTGTTTTGATTGGTTTTCACTCTGGGCAAATCAGATCAGTGGSGAAAAGAAAGAAAGCAGTAGCAGAAAGCAGTTTGTCCACTAGAGGGCAGCACATACACACATAAAATACCATGGATGCTTCCATGAAYGTTGGGCGAAGTATGTTTTTATTTTAAATAATCTGTCTAAATCTGATGACAGTAGTTCTATTGGCATGTAATCTGCCTCATTGATCGTGTATTTTRTTCAAAATTTCTGCAGCTGAATGTGGAGCATTTTGAAGTATCTTCTTTCAAACACCCGACAGTGRCTTTTATAATTAAAACCCTTTCCTCAGTTACATCAAATTATTGTTGGGAGGACAGAAAAGGAATATGTTAATAAATAATCACAGTTTTCATCTATATTGTATGAAGCAACAAACAAAAMTAAACAAATTTACAAAGAATCTCCCACAGAAAAACAAACTTTATTCCAKTTACCTCTGCAAAGTTTGTGTAATTTATATTTTTTATTTTACCATTATTTAACCAGGCAAATCCTCTTTCGCAAGTGCGGCCTGGGGGCAACCTTTTATTTATTTTTTTTTTTACATATTTTTGGGGTGTGGGGGAAAGCTGGAGAAAGCCCATGCAAACCTGAAGACAACATGCAAACTCCTCACAGAAAGACCCCACGTCGAGCCAGAGGTCAAACCCAGGACCTTCTTGCTGTGAAGCTAATCACTGAGGCTTTGTGCCGCTGTCAAATTGGTGTTAACGCATGTTTTTATTTTTTTTAATTGAAAGCTGTGTATTAAAAAAAAAAACTTCATTTCTAATGTACGATAAGTCAAACAGTAAATGTAGTATTTGATTCTGCTTTCAGCAGTCGGACATTGATGCTTAAGATCCTGACTGGAGCACTCTTGTGACAAAAAATGCACATTTGCTCATTTTTTATATATAAATACCATTTGAACTGTTTTATTCCGTTTTTTTGTTTGTTTGTTTTTTTTTTTTTTTTTTTTTTTTTTTTTTTTTTTTTTTTTTTTTTTTTTTT